GAATATAGGGAATTAGGACTGGGGATGAAAACAGGGAGGAAAACAGGGAGGCAGGAGCGGGGTGGAAAACTGGGAGAAAAACAGGGAAGAAGGGTCGGGTAGAAAAATAGGGAGAAAAACCGGGAGAAAAATTGTGAGGAACGACCAGGGAGGAAAATAGGGAGAAAAATAAATTAGGAAGAAAATAGGGAGAGAAACAGGGAGAAAAAGAGGGAAGAAGGGCAGGGGAGGAAAACAGGGAGGAAAAATAGGGAGAAAAACAGGGAGGCAGGAGTGGGGTGGAAAACAGGGAGGAAAATAAGGAAGAAGGACCAGGGAGAAAAATAGGGAGAAAAACAGGGAGGAAATAGGGAAGAAGGGCTGGGGAGGAAAATAAGGAGTCAGAATCTGAAAAGAAAAATGGGGACAAAAACAGGGATTAAAATAGGGAGGCAGGACTGGGAGGAAACTGGGGAGAAGAAAAGAAAAGCGGGATACCAGAGGAACATGGGAAAGCAGAACCAGGGAGAAAAACAGGACCTGAGAGAAAAATAGAGGCAGAACTGGGATGGAAAATAGGAAGAAAAAGGGGAGAAAATAAGCATGAAGACAGGGAGGGAAACAGGGAGGAAAAGAGGGAGGAATATAGGGAATAAGGACCGGGGATGAAAACAGGGATGAAAACAGGGAGGCAGGTTCAGGGAAGAAAATGGGGAGGAAAAGAGGGAGGAAAATAAAGAATAAGGACCAGGGAGGAAAATGGGGAGAAAAATAGGGAGGMAAACAGGGAGGCAGGACTGGGAGGAAATTGGGGAGGAGAAGAGAAAAGTGGGATCCAAGAGGAACACGGGAAAGCAGAACCAGGGAGGAAACCAGGGAGAGAAGCAGGACCCGAGAGGAAAACAGAGGCTGAACTGGGATGGAAAATAGGAAGAAAAAGGGGGAGAAAAATAAGGATGAAGACAGGGAGGGAAATGGGGAGGAATATAGGGAATAAGGACTGGGGATGAAAACAGGGAGAAAAACCGGGAGAAAAATAGGGAGGAAAACAGGGAGGCAAGACCGGAAGAAAAACAGAGAGAAAAATGGAGGCAGGTCCAGGGAGGAAAATGAGGAGGAAAACAGGGAGGCAGGACTAGGAGGAAAACAGAAATAAAACAGGGAGGCAGGTCCAGGAGGAAAACAGGGAGGCAGGATCCTGATACAAAAATATGGGACAGAAGGAAAACAAAAGCCAGAGAGCGGAGCAGGATCCCAGAGGGAACAGGGAGGGGAGGGATCGATGTTTCCTGCACGGAGTCGGGGCAGAAATGAGGAATTCCAGCTTCAGCCCCTCTGGAAATGGGATATGGCTGCACCTCCGCGGGGCGATGAGGAAAACCATTCCCCTCTCCAGGAAGGGGAGGACTTATCCCCTGCCATTCCCAAATCCGGGAATGGAATCCGGGAATCCTGCATGTCCTGCCCTTTTTCCAGCCCCAAACACAAATCCAGGGAATGTCCATCCAGTGCTGGGATGTTTTCCACCTGA